CTTACACTGGTTTAAAAAAACCCGACCTCCCTCAATAGAGCTTATAAGCCGTTCAGTAAGAGGTTTTATACCAACAATAAGGATATAATGTGAGTTGGAAAAAATATTACTTGTATTGTATTTTCGGTGGATCAAAATGTCTGATGGACGTACGCTTTAAATCATGGGTGTATTTCAATTTTACCCGAATAATTTCAGGATGAAAAAAGAACCTTTATTAGGGAGCGATAACATCTTCGGTCAAGCGCATTAGACGGTGTCTGGCCCAGCACTACATATAAGCTCTGATCAATACCTACTACAGTGAAACTAAGAAAAATTGAGGGAACAGGATTTTTGCACATAAGCAAAAGTCATCTGGCTAAAATAATTGTTACCACAGTAACTTTTTATGCGTGTTGGTTAGTTTAGTTGTTTAGTTGCGTAATAATATTGTTTTTACTTGCCCTCGTCTGTTATAAAAGACTCTTTCACATACTAGTTAACATCGTATCAAAATCCCAGGTCTGAACGCTGTCTTCTTATATACATACAGCCTATAGTCTAGTTAGGAAAACAGTTCTCACTACTGTTAGAGCAATATGCATCTGCAAATGTGTGAATTAAAATGTGTCTCAAGTGAAAATGTATATGTAGCAGATACAAATTTGACACAAGTCAAATAAACATTTTTTTTGTTATTTTATTTTATTTAATAATATATGATTGTGCTTTGTTTAATTTAGAAACAGTTTTCAAGTTCAATATGTTCATCAGTGAGTTCGAAACAATGATTGACACTAGCGTCATCAAAAAAGTCCAAGTTCTATCAGGTTAACGGTAACTAATAACCAAATAAAACTCAATAGAAATGATATTAATCTAATAATGTTTGTTTTCAACCGAAGTGTGGTGCGTCAAACAAAAATAATCGAGACACATTCGTTCGAGTTACGCATTTAAATTGAGACAAAATCGTCCCTCACTCGTCATAAATTTCAATGAGAAACATCGAGTGATCAAATTAGAAAAATTAAAAGTGATAAATAAAGTCCTATTAAGCGTTATTGCGTAAAAAAGGCATAAATTAACGCGTTAGTTGGACGCGTCTGGTAAAACATTTTGTTGGTGCGACGCGACCGTGTGTGACTCTGACAAGTGAAATAGTGATGTGCCTAATAAATAACGATGGATTCTTTTGCAATTGAATTGATTGTTGCAACTGCAAAATCTGTGTTATACTGCGCTATTTTATACCTGCTTTATAAAAAAGTGCAAAACACTATAGATGATAATTTTATGTATAAGGATAGTTTTGTGACATAGGTCCTAGTACATACTAAATTACTCGGTACGGCCATAAAATTAAGCTTAATAAAATACACATCTAGTCACTTAGAACTAATGCGTTATGATTTGCACTACAAAGTGAATGATATTTCGTTTAATACGTTTGTGTGTTTATTGCGTTAATTTTGATGCACTGGTATTCTTGGGCAGCTACAGCTACGCAAACTTATTCTGATTCACATTATGACTCATCATGTAAGTTCATATTATTTGATATAACGTTTAATATAACGATAGGTATTAAATACATGCCTTTGAATTGTGTGACGCTTTGGCCAGGTTGCACTAGCCTTGCATCCTCTGCCAGTAAACATGCTTATATCTTATGGAACTTGACTTAATTTAAAGTTACATGTTATTTTAGATTATTGCTAAAATTGGGGAGCCAAAATTTAATATAATACAGTATTCTGAAGAGATTTTTTTTAATCGGACTGTTGCACTAAAAAGTATAGGGCCTTTGAACCCTTAAACGAACACAGCGAACACTGTGTTATTTTCTTCTCCTTATAAAATAATAACACAAAATGATAATAACTTAATGATAGTTTGACAAAATGATGTTTTAATGGCATCCCATCACTATCTCGTGTCACACGTGTGCCCTCTAATTACGCGCTCAAATTGTATTAATTAGTGCGCGACTGAAAGGGTTTTAGCCGCCTATGGAACTCAAACCGTTATTCTGTTGTGTATACGGGTTATTAGCATAATTTTAATTATGTTTGTTAATTATCGTGAGTAGTAATATCTTGTTAATATCATTTTAAATTGAATAAGGTGATATAAAGTACTTAATAAATTATTATTAAACGAAATATGTTTCGTCTTTGATAATCATGGGGCATATACTTGTAATGCTCAAGTAACAATTTCGTCACGAGTTTTAGCATAACCCACACTTTGTTAGAGTGCAGACTCTTTCATCAAGGATTTGGTAACCACATGTGTGTGTATTTTTTTTTCGATTTGATTGATTTCATGATGTTTAATTCTCATAGCGAATACCGAAGGATATTAAAGTTAATTTGACTCGAATTGTAATAAAGATTGATGATTATTTATATTTTACCCCTCGACCAGACAGAAACCATTAAGTCACAATATGTAGAAGAAAAAAGAAAACAAAAGAGACCCGCTTTACTTTGCTACTAACCCTACAAACCGCTGCAACTGCCAATGCTTTCTTATTCTTCTTTTTTTGTATGCTTAGTTACATCAATCCACTTACTTTTCTTCATCTAAGAAACCTACCTCATAATAAATTCACAAACTATTATATTTCACGAGGCGATTTATTCAAAAATGTGAATATAAAACTAAATTGCATAACATAAAACTTGAATTATACAGGGAGGAGGAAGCCGGGAGCTCACTAACATCAAAAGAGGGCTATTATGAAAAATCGTAACACGTTTACTGGGCGGACTCTCTTCCATTATTCATGAGTGAAATTGCTGCTTCCCCATACCTGTGAACGGTAGCTGTTATTTACACTCGTTCCGGGTAATAACCGTTATTGGGGTGTTAGCCCCGCCCTATGCGATGTGCAGAAACTTAAACTTATGTATTGTTTATTTATCATTGTATATAATATCGTTACAGCTTATTGATTAGTGAAGAAGTTTACTATCTAAACTGAAAAACGATTACAAAATATAAACGAAAAATTACTGAAAATGCTACAAAAAGTTGTGTTTGACAAAATGATTGTTCAAAATTTTTCTTAAGCGTTAGATGAGTTTTACAACCATGACGACATCCACAGAGTCAGCTTACGCAAACGTCTAGCGCAACCTGCTTGAATAGTCAGGCAATTCAATATTTTTATTTAATTATTGCATTTTACTTTACGAGTTACTTTCGCATTTATTAATAGGGATTAGAAATCTGCAGAATAACAACTTTTCAATCTTAGGCTTATTTTGTAATAATACAGACCATCATATGCATACTGGCTCACGTTAACTCTTAACACCACAGAGTGTGCATAAACACAACACACCAGAACTATTTACCAGCTATACTATATACCATAACAAAAAAGAAACAACTAAGCATAAATTCCAACATCAAACATTTCTGAGCGGTGTCTGCAGTAGGGGAGCATAAGAAATCGAGTCACGCCCAGTATTGTCGCCAGCTAACTTCCTTACGGCGATGCTCGTGATTGCAAACGATCAAGACGCGACACAAACAAGCCAAATTCAATCACCAGCTTTTTGTTAGATAGTGTTTGATTGTTAAGGAAAGGAGGGATTTGATTTATTTTGAGACATTTTGACACAATGATGTCTAGAACTAAACTAAGCCTAGCTTGAAATGTGGGTTCTAGAACACGGAGTGAGAAGTGAAATCGTGACGACTACGAAAATTTAAGAAGGCTACAACTTCTTAAATTTTCTATCTTTCATCATCGTAGTTATTTGCTTTTTGTTTTTTTATTTTTCAATTTTTAATTATTTGGCCCAGTAGAGATAGTGATTTAAATTAGGAATCTTAGTTTTTAAACTAACCTACCAAGCCGTTTAAGAGACTTGCGTCTGCCTTATGTATATGTAAAAGTTCAAAAGAAAAAGAACTGTATACCAGAGCAATACTTATTAAAATGTAAATGCTTTGATAACTTGAAACTTCCTAAAAGAATTCTAGTTCCTCTAAGATAAATAATTATAATAATATTGTATTTATTTCTCTCATAACAAAGGTCACCTACCTTTAGGTGTACAACTTATAAATACAGATCAGTCAGAAGTAGTTTACCACATTACAGAAAACAAAATTATTTTAACAAAATCTATAAGGTAAAGCATTTCTATAGCGGCAAGTCTTATCAATTCATTGGTATTTTTTTTAATGGGAATATCTAAGCATAGTTCTTAAGTTAAAGTGAGAATAGTATTCTCTGATTATTTAAATATTTTAGTAAATTTTTGATTACTAACAATCGTTGTTTGATCTATGAATGATAAACTGAATGAATGCCAATGATTTATCGGTTAACGTTATATACATATAAAACGCTTACTATTACTAGACTAAGAGTAAAAATACTGACAGTAAGTAGAATGTAACATAAACTCAATTAGCTGATTTATAAAAGCATCAGACGGCAGCAGATGAACCGAGTTGTACAAAGTAATAAGCGTAGACGCACGAACCGCCGCGGCTCGCTCAGCCCCGCTCACCGTAAGCAAAAACTCAATTATCATATTTTATACCTCATAATACTTACGAAAAGATATTCAATTATATAATTTTTCCTCTGAAAAGGGAATCCCTTTTCATTTCTCATTTGGATTTTTCTCTTAAGCAATTACGAGCCAGCCCCGGGGAGCGCGAGATTGGCTTGGCGAATACATTTCCACGCCGGACGCGCCCGCACTAATTTATCTTTTAACAAGGAATGGAATGTTATGTTAACTTATGCGCCCACCGCGTTAGCTCTGTTTTCGTTTAATAAAACTGTGTTTCGCGGATGATTTTATGAGTTTCGGCGAGTTATGAATTTGTTTGCGCGCGGAATAGAAATGAGCTCATTTCATGGTGGACGTGTTATGCGTATCTTTCGTATTTGTTATTTATACATAAGCCTCTGTAGACACAATAGAATTAGTAATGATCCAAAGCGCTCTTACGCTCACAAATATCATTAGTGATGGAAGGACATTATGTTTGTAACAAACGAAGTTGTCGCTCGCCGGCTCGCTCAAGCGTCTCGACAATTCGATTCCGACAAGCGGCGGATCGGATTCGGGCGAAACTCACGTAATCGCATCGCGCGGCCGGGAACACAAATTATTCGTGCGCCGAAACTGGCTAACTTCGTCAACCCTATAAAGGAGGTAAAGAACAAAGCGGAACCACAATTGGCCGCGTCGATCCTCTACCTGAGTCGATGGAAGTTTTAAAAATGGCGGCTCTTTGAGAGCAAACTCGATAAGGGCGCGCCCGCGGGACGCGTAAATACAATTTGCAAGGAATCGCTCGTGCCTTTGACGTCGCTCGCGACTTGCCGTTTGAAGATTTGGTTGTTTGCCTCACTCCACGACCCGCCGGCTGATACGTGTCTCTGTCTATGACTATGAGTGAAAAATCTAATCCAACCCCCGATGAATATTTAGCGAGCTCTACGAAACTAACGTAGTAACAAACAATTCAGTTTCTTGACACGACAAATAACAGCTTCGTGTAATGATTGGAACCTACACTATGATGAATAACTGAACATATATAACTACAAATGATAAAGAGGTAGGTATATAAGCATTTAGTAGGTAATTTGAAATGTCTAATCTATAAACAAACTATCTTATGTTCTCTGTTGTAACGAAAGTAATAATTATAAAGAGAAATTCTCCTATAGAGAGCTATAATAATAATAATAATATAATATTCAATTAATAATTATTATTCTTGCGCTTGTTTCTATAATCCATACACATGCTAAAACTCGATGAAAGGGTATGGTTCGAAGTACCAATATATGCCCATAAAATTTAAGCCACAAACGGATCACAATTTGTGTTACAAGATAACCTAGGACCTAGGATAGAAAAGGACTCTTATACTGGTAAGCAGTTTGACAGTTATCAAACAGCCACTCTACTTACTCATAATAGAATTAATGAAATACTTCCGTAAGTGGTACTCATATTTTTATGAGCACCACTTATTATTACTTACAAGATGTAGGGTTTTACTCACGTACTATATTTTGAGGATGAGGCTAACCTAATCATAACCTTAAAGTAACGAATTTAAAATCAAGCATATTGTCAAATACATACTTATTGAGTTGTTGAAGCAATAATTAGGTGCTGGCAGTTGTTTCGCTACTCGGATCAATTGACAGACGTCAAAATTTACTTCAAAATTGTATTTAAAACTATTTAAAATATCATTTTGACATAGCCATTAATATGATATAAATCATATTTCACACAGTTTTTTCATTTAAAAACTTTAAAAATAAAAGGAATTGGTTTTTCATGTGTTCTCCATTGTATTAAAGTTAATTTGCAATATTCGGTACAATGGAGATATGAATAATAATTTCGGTAACATAATGATGAAACTTGTAAATGAATAAGCATAATTTTTATTAGGTAACTTATCGCATGTGGAAAGGAAAAGGCGCCTAGTGCTGTAGTAAGCGAATCTCTCTGTAGTGATACCATACTTTTTCACATTTCTGGGACTTAGCTAGATGCTTTTTTTATTTGAACTAAACGCAAGAATAAAATACGGATACTCAATGGATTGAGTCGGTTATTAGTGGTGATAACTGGGTAATTTGAATAACATGTTTGCGACGGATTGACGTAAACAGGCTTGCTCCCAATTATATAAGTGGGACTAAAGTAGTGCCGGCAACGCCTGCAACTAGCACAGGTGTGCCGGCAACATTACGGGTTTCAAGACAGTTTTATTTTTGGGACTGGGACTTGCTGAGTGTCATAACTCGGTGTGTTCGTGGGTCACTACTGTTGATCCTGGTGTACAGGAGTTACAGTGGTGAGCGTAAGGAAGGCATTAATCCCATTAAAAATAAAACTCTTATGCCAGTTGTAGGCGTTCATGGGCGGCGGTAGTCACATTCCATCAGGAGACTATTTAACTGACTGATGGCAGTCCGTTAAATAGTTATAGTTGGCAAAATTTGGGCGTTTAATACGCCTCTGCATATTTTAACCCACATGTGACTTTAACCTCGTGACTCCTGAGTTGCAGGCCTTCATGGGCGGCGGTAGTCACTTTCCATCAGGGGCCCTCTGCTCATTTGCACCCTCTTCCGTAAAAAAATGCGCTTTCAACACAATCGAAACATAACTAAAATGCTTTTACGACCACTTTTTCATATTTTAATGTCTAGTATTGAAACTTCTCCAGTCTGGATTTCATTGGTTACCACGGCAATATACCTCAGTTTACTGCCATTAACAGTATATAACTAAAGAACACCATTAAACTAACGCATGGTCTCCCTACACCCCACAATGCAAATTGCAGAGAGCCATAGCGAGACATCACAAATTACTTTTAGTTTTAGTTTATTATTCCCTACCATTATTAAACTTTTTCGTAAATCCTGACTAATGTTACAAATATAAGTTTGTTTGTTTATTTAGCTTTCACATCTTAATTATATGGCTTGATACATCGTCAGTGATACAGAAACAGACATAGAATCATTTAGAAAAAGGTGATATTTCTGGGAATATGCAAATCTTTTATACGATTTCCTGATTTCTCCGTTATGTTTCGTTTACATCTATACAAATAAATAAAATAGAAGTGTCTGTAATGTCAAAATAATCGGTTCTTTTTTATGCTCACACGGTTATTTGCACGATAATTATGCCTAAAAACCAGTTTAAATATTTTTTGTCTGTCTGTTTGTTCCAGGTTATCTTCAAAACAGTTACACCGGTTTGAAAAATATTTTGCTACCAGGTTGCTGTCTATATAAGGAGTAACTTCAGCTATTTTCCCGCTTAGAAAAAACCCTATATAATGTTGCACGGTCCGGGAATCAAAACCGAGGCCTCGTGGCCTGTAGTCGCATACTGTACTACACCAATAAGATAGGGCTTTTCAAATTCCACGCGAACGAAGTCGCGGGTGATATGAAATTGATTGGGTGATATGAAATTTATTAATTGATGATATGAAATTGATTCCATACATTGCTTAACCAATTTTGTTCAAACAAGTTGACCAAACATACATCACCTATGAATGGTCGTTCAAAATATTATAGTTGATAAAGAGATAAGATATTCTTAATTAATCAATAGAATGTGAACTTTATTACCAAACAATATAATTCTAAACGGACTTATAAAGTTTTCTATTTGGAAATATACCAAATAAAAAACTTTAGAAGTCCATTGTAAACTTTAATTTATTGCTGCAACTTACTTAGCTTCTCATATTCCTTTAAAAATCTCTTAATATTGTTGTTAGCAATTTGTGAAACCCAAACGTCCATTCTATCATACCTAAAAGTTGCCTATTATCACTGCCTCTAGGTAACAACACGTCGTCATAGCAACCAGCCATCCCCTTACCACTGAGTGACGCAAAATCAATTCTACAAGTCCCAAAATAAGGTACATATTTTGTTATCTTTGGAAGTAGAGTTTTGTGACAAATAAGGGTAAAGTGGTTAGGATCTTGGGTCGGTGTCGGAAACGATAACGGGTTGGAGGGTAGCGGGGAATTTAGTACACATACATATTAAGTGTAACTATTGCCTACAATTTTCGTAATAATATTTGTAATATATATAAGAAGTCAGGGTAATAGCTTTTCCTGTTCTATACCTGTTCTTACAAATATCGTACTGCTACCATGAATGGATCAAATCTACATGGATGTTTGTTGCTTAATTTTGCCAGAATGGCTAAAAAGATCTGGATGAAATTTGGCACAGAGATAGGTTATAGTCTGAAATAGCAGATAGATTTTTCACTCCTTTAAAAGTTATTGATATTTTAAGTTAAAGCCATGTGCAAAAGTTAATCTTCAAATTCAAGTCAAAACCATTTATTTTACAACTTCCATGGAATGTTGTATTGTAACTTGTAAAAGAAAACGTTTTTCAGCCAACATTACAAATCGTACATAACTTTTGATCTTCCTCGTGCTTAATTTAATGACTATTTACTAAATTATATTTATATATCATATTTATATATATATTTATCCGTCTAGGACAGTTTGTAGCGCGTTGCTTAGGTGTAAAACACTGATCAAATACACTGATCCCTCTTTTACAATACTTTTTTTGCTCTCATCAGTTGTACATTTGAGTACTTAAGAGTACTTAAATCCAATGAGATCTTTTTAATAAAAATAACAATATCTAATTACCCTTCTAATATTTTGCCCGCATGACCAGTGAAGGGTTAGATCGCATAGCCACTCAATATCACCCCGTTGGCCACCACTGACTTTGTGATTTATTTTTTATGGCCACTTGAGTAGGTATTGTATGCAGGCGTGGCTAATTCGAAAGAGATTTATAGCTTAGAAACTTGTGGTTGGTCTTTGTTAATATATAAATAAATCGTTTTATTTGGTAAAAAAAAATTACTAGGCTACAGTATAGTAATGAAGTTCAGTAAATCAAATTATAAAATTCTTAAATTATCACAAATCCCACCTATAATAATATATCTAAACCGTAAATACAACGAAAAATCTTATAAAACCAAATAAGTATAAAAGTGCTACGACATAAAAGCGACTTCACACATACGAATAATCGCAGCGACACGTGCTGTTTGCAATCGCAAATATTTTCAATTGCCCGCAGTGCACAGCGGGGTTCAGAATCTGTTTTTTGTTGCAAACAATCGTGGTGGTGAGTTAAAAAATAAGAATTTAGTGTCGTAGTACAAAATAAGCACAATGTCAACTGTAGGCCATTGTACTTTACAACTAATTACAATCGCGTCTATGGTTAAATATAGTTTCAAAATTAAATATGTAGTGGAACTTCAGGAGGTATTTTGGTTTTATTTGTAATGTTGTATGCGTTTGTCTGGACTATTACGTATATATTATACTGTATTAATTCAATATTTAATCATTTATACAAAATTATTTAACTGAATTAAAAAGTTCAGTATTAATCTGTAAAACTCAATTTTAATGAGAATACAAACACACCTCTTCAATCTTCTGCTTAAATCCAAAGAAGAAATCTTTCTTAAAACTACATTAACTGAGTCATTAAGTTTAATACAGTAGCAACCAAATCAAGATCCAATTACGGTACATTTAGTTTGAATGACTCCACTCGAGCTCACACGCTCCAAAGTCACGTGGCTTCGATTCACGTTTTGTTTATCCACCAGATTCGACTCAATTTAGCGTTAAGTGATCGCCTATTGCGAAGGGC